AAAGAGATCTTATTTCAGCTTTCAATTTGTTAAGCTGAACAAAGCAGCTATTTTAGCCTCTATTTGCAAATTGTTCGGCACTAGGATATCACTTCCCAAGAAAAGGAGAGGTAGCAGGGTGCAAATGTGTGGGCTGTGCCACACAGGACCCAAGTTCTGAACAGGCATGGGAGGTCTTTGCATGGGATAGGAAAAAGCCAAGAGTCAAACACGTTAACACAATGTCTTGTCTAACTGAGCACACATTCCCTTCCTACCAGGGGTTTTTAGCTTGGACTCAGCTGGGGTTTGGCTTAGTTTAGATTGCATTTGCAGGGATCACATGCAGCCAGAGGCAGCTTGCATCTCCCCTCCCTCTGTGAGCTGGTATAGACAGCCCCAGAGAACACCAAATGCTTCCCTGGAATCTGTAATCATGGCTCTCCCAAAAGTTAAGCTTCTATGCCTTACACGATTCTAGACCCTGATCACATCCATTTGAATACTGACATTAAAACTTTCCATTGTGAGTGTTCCTACTGAATCACTCACAGTGAATGTCTGCTGGATTCAGAAGCTTGGAAGCACAGAAGAAATGAATTCCTGATCCTGTTAGCAGGATGGACAAACAATTGCACATTTAAAAACATTTTCCTAACTTATTTTACACCTAATGGCTAGGAGTTATCTGGTGCCCAAGTATAACTCAGGTAATAGTTAATGTAGTTTAAAATATGAAAAATGACAAGCCTAGTTCCTACTGACAACCAATTATTTCACCCATTAATGCAAAAACCATTTCCTGATTGTTTACTGTAACAGTGCACATGCACACCCACATGTTTTACATGGAGTCTGTAAGCATTCAACTCCCTCAGCAGCACTGGAAAAATCAGCTGTCCTCAGGACAGCTCTGAGGAAACCCCAGGTGCTGTGCAAAGCTGTGCTTGTGACTCACTGGGCTCCTCTCTCAGCTGGCACAGTATTAAGGTCCAGATCTAGGGCTTTGGTGCTTTGAAACCAATTAAAAATTGATGCCCTGAGCACCAATGGCATAAGGAAAATATAAACCTTGCAGTCTCTTAAAAAGGAGTATATTTAACCACAGGCACCAGATAAATTCTGGCATTATTATTATTATTACAGGATATATCACTGTAGTAAGAGCTCAGCATATTCTGTTTAGTGAATTCAGTATATTTATTACTACAATATTTCCTTCTCCTCTGACATTTCATTATTAAAGACATCCTTCATGTTTGTTTCGGGTTTTGGTTGTTTTGGGTTTTGGTGGTTTTTTGTTTGTTTTTTTTTTGGTTGGGTTTGTTTTTTTTTTGTTTTTTTTTTGTTGTTTGTTTGTTTGTTTGTTTTTGTTTAGGTTTGGTTCTTTCCCCTGGGATTTCTCGTTAAATAATTCATATTTTGTCTGCTTTACACATTGGCATTTGGCCAAGAAAAACTTTATCTCTATGTGCAAACTCTCTATCTTTCTCTCCATTTAATACGATTTTTTGGCTACTGCAAGGCAGCACAGACTGAATATTGTAGGATGCTGCAAAGGTGTGGTTAGTCATTAAAAAAATGAGTTCTCAGTGAAGACTGCTAAGAGCTTGATACATTGGTACTACAGTACACCTCAACAAATTTTGCTGGGGTGATTCATAATCATACCAACTTCTACATCAAAGGTATTTTCTTAGAAGCAGTTATTTGATTAATAATGTATTTTGCACACAGCTTCAGGCAGTTTGTGTACCCACATATCAACACACAACAAGGAGCTATGCTTCTTCAAAAAGTTACCAGATAATTATTTGCATTTTTTTATCCAATATATCATTCTTGATCCATCAATTGAAGCAACAAGAGCACTGTCTTTTCAAAACCAGGTATTGTGGCTTTCTAAATGTATTTCAATGTCTCTCAGTGTCTAACCCAGTATTGCAGAAACAGCACAGGGCAAAGGGCAAAAGATCTTTGTCCTCTCAGGTGACAGAGCACCAGTTGGAGGTTTGCACTGAGAATCTGTAGAGAAAGGAATTTATTCACAAGTGCATTACCTGGTAAGAGTTTTCATAAATTATGGTCCAAAGGCATTCCTACAAACATTTCTGCTAATGACTAAAGAATAGGTGATACACATTTACTGCATCTCTTCATAAGCCATGATGTGTTGTGAAGCTGTTATCTCCACTGAATCACAAACTAATGTTTGTATTTCAGATTTCTTTTCTTTATCCTTCACTGCTACATATGAGATCCTACAATGCTTTTTTGTACGAGATATAAAAGATAAGAAACAAATGTGTTTTCTAGATGCATAAACAACACAAAGTGACCCAACTGCCCCTAACCTTCTCTTCCTTAATGCCGAGCAAATTTAGTAAATTTTAAAATGAGTTTTTCCAACTCCCTTATCTTTTGCAATTTTTTTCTGGGATCTTCCCAATTTTTCAATTTACCAGCACAGCCTAGCTTATTTCAAACACACTCCACATGGACCTTTATAGAAAACACAAAAGCAATTGTGTACCACAAAAGCTCTTGTACTTGGAGTGATTCTGGACTTCTTGAGGAGAAAATTCAGCTACCTCCCAAGTCCTTTTATAAACACAGAGATTTATACTAAACAAATTCCACCTGTTGAAAAACAATATATATTGATTGCAACCTTTTTATCGCAGCCTTTGCTGACATAAAAAAAAAAGTTCTAGTGTTTTTTCTTCCTGGTTGTTCTCTAACAACCACTTGAAATTATTCATTTTGTAATACTTTAACAATGAAAGATGCTACAAGAAATTCTGTCCTGGCCAGATTCCTGCTTCTATTGCCCTATTATTGCCATACTGTTTTCAGGAGTAGTCATTATAATTCTGTTGCAGCTCTGTAGCCCAGCAATGTTGTACTGCCACTGCTTGTCCCAGGCCCCACATCTGGAACTGAGTCTGCAAGGCTTCAGGCTTTGTCTGATCTTGTCTTTGTCTGATCTTGTCTGACAGAAATTTTGATTTAATTTCTTAAACTATAGCAGCAGTTCTTTGAATTAGTATGTAGTGGGCTGTTTTGTTTTATTTCCAGTTATTCTTGTAACATACAACCTGCTTTTTTAGATGGATTAGTAGTATTCTGTGTAGAAAGACATATTTATAATTAACTTAATTAAATTAATGTGAAGAAGTACAGATCTGGTACAACAGCAGATGCCTTGAAAAGTGGGAAGAAAAGATGAGATGTAAAGGACTACAGGCATAGGATGGCAAAAAGGGAGGCTCTGGCTAGTACTGGCAATGCCATGGCTAAAACCAATGTGCTAGTGGTTAGTTAAAGAAATGCAGATCTGGAAGGGGACACAACTACCTCTAGGGTGAAAAAGACAGCAAGTACCTAACCTATATAAAATGCACTATACAGAAAATTTTGATGTAATGGCAATATGGAACCCAGTGAAGAATATGCAAGGCATAAATGAACATTAGCAAACTCATAAACATGACCCCAACTGCAGGTTTATAGCTTGATTTTGGAAGAACTTAAAATAATGAAAGTTTAAACTTTCTAAGTGATACTGGGCATACAAAGACAAAAGGGAACCTGGAGATTTGTCTCTTATTATCATCACATATATTTCTTTGGAGGAAATCATACCTAATTACTACCTCATTTGGAAAAAGCCTGTAAGTTTCAGCACCAACTTGTTGGAAAATTTTTTGTGATAAAAGTACAATTTAATTCTTTAATATTACAATTTTTAAAAAGTCATCCTCTTGTCTCTAATACTGAATGGAAAAGATTAAGATAAGGCAGTTTTTAATATTGTTTTTAAAACACCACTGTTTGTCTTAGGCTAATATTCTTGTTTGTTCTCACCAACCTTCAAGGCAATTCCTTTCTTTAATTAAATGAAGGGATATTGAAGCACAGAGCAAATTTTTTTTTAATTTTAACTTCTGCAAACCCATTGCAGACAGTGATGCTGCAAATGCACAAATGAGTGCAGAATTTGGAGACAGGGGGTTCTCTGTAAGTGTGAAGAGAAACTGGATGTAAATGTTCCTTCCTTCAGTCCTGAGAGTCTCCTGGCATGGGACCCAGAAGGTGACCAGTGGCTACAAGACTATGATGGCAACAACTTTGATTATTCCTTTTTATCCTTCTTTGGCTCTCTCTTCCCATCTGCCCACGCTCACAAGCAGGGGTGAACCAGAGCTCAGCACTGGAAGAATCTCTGGAAGCAGAACTTCCTAGGAGTCTCCTGTGTTGTGGTTTTAGATAATCCCAAATCAGGTTTATCCCAACTGCACGAGTGCAAACGAAGCAGCTCAGGGAGGCTGCAGCTCCCATGGGAGCCTTTGGGAACCCAGCTGGCCTTTCATGCAGCTCACTCTCAGGCTGCTGCTGGCACAGTCCCCCCCGGTGGCCTCTGAGGACAGTGACTATGGCAGCCACAGGAAACAGATTTAGTTCACATAAGTTTTGTTTTTAGCTTTTAAGTAGACCACAACAACCCAGGTTTTCAAACTGTAAATTTATATACAATATTTTGCCAGAGATTTTAGGACTGAATTACTAACTTAAATTCTCACTCTTTTCTTTGTACCTGTAATGAGATACTGTTACATAAATTATTATCCAAACCTTGATAATATTTTTTAAAATATTAAATATTTTAATTAATTTTCTCTTATTGTTACCAGGATTAAAAACTATAAAATAGCTTACACATCCTCAAATATTTTCCTCTGAAGAAAAAATGACAGTAGCCAAGTTTCTAGAAGTTTTTTTAATAACATTCTATACTTCTGACTATCATGCTTTATGGTTCTATTATTTTCAACAAAAGCATTTAACTATTTATGCCTTTTCTTTCGGTATAGTTATCCTTCTTTTTAGTAGATTAAGGAAGTAATTTTCAAAGTGATCACATTTTTTGAGTTATTTTGTTGCAAAATGGAAATAGTTCGACAGTGATGCATACAGACTGCTAACAACTGCTGCTCTCTAAAGAAGATGCATCAACTTACTGAATGAGCTGCTATCCAGGACATTCTCCAAATACTCAACCATTGCCTCCATATCACTGTCCTGTGAACAAATGAAATAGGAATAGCATTAGTGTGAGCACAAACCTAAATACAAACGCTATGTCCCAGAGGTACCATCCCACAAACACAGAGGATATCACACCAGTAAGAGTCAAGACTAGACTATAAAGAAATTACATTGCCCAGGACATTTTCTATGTTTTCTTCTCCTAAAATACTAGACTTTGGAATGATGTAATAACCAAACAACAATTTAAGTCAGATTCCTTGCAGAACACAAGTGTTTAGAACAACTGTGCATGGAATTTAAAGGAGATATATTTACTGTGGAGGGTGGTGTGCAGTCTGTGAAAATATACCAGCATTTTATCATCAGTTGGTCCTGGAATATCTAAAACAATATCACATCGAAAAAAGCAAGTACATACTTTTTAAATATGCCAAAATGTTTTATGCTTATGATAGCTGTCCACAGCAAATTAATACTTATCTTTCATGTGATTGCATCTACTTACATGTCTAGTAACAGCAACTAACTTAAAAATTTTAATTAAGAAGAGATTTTAACATTTTTATATTTCAAGTGTTCTGCTACCAAACAGATGGCTGACAGTTTTGCCATTTTAATATGAAATGCTGTTTGTGTACACAGATGAAATTTAAAGTTCTGGCCATTAGGTAATGATTGTTGTCCAGGAAGTACATCACAATTTTATGACAGTCCAAGAAAAACTTGGACTCTGAGTGTGTAGAAGCTGCTGCCATATCACATTTAACAACACAGCATTTCCTGACTATTTAAAACTGATAGTCAAAATCTCGACCTTGCCAAAAAAATATGTCAAAAAAACGTATTTTTAAAAAATAGTTAGCACTCTATGCCTTTAAGACTGAAAACAATGGAATAAAAAGAAACACTACTGACCTCCACTTCTACAATGGACAATCTGTTTTATATTCTTCTGTGATCTTACTAAAACACCCATTGCAAATTTCTCAACTTAGGAACTGCCAGTGCACCTAAACAGGACAATAATTGTTGGCAATGACTTCCAGCTGGTTAGGGACCTTCTGGTGCAAGTGGGAGCTGTTATGGATGAGCATAAACTAACTATTCTTTCACTTCAAGTTGTTGTATGGGCTTATATTTGAAACAGGCTCTCCTGCTTTAGCTGAGGTTTGCAAGGCAGGAATCAGGTCCTTGGCTGGCCATTACAACAGGAAACCCACAGGCTCATAGGTTCAAAGGAGCTTCTTTGCCCTTTTGGAGCAGCCTGTGGGGTCCTGATTAGATCAAGTCAGCACAAGGATTTCCAGTTCTGCAGCCAGGAAATACTAGGAAATGCATTCATTATGTTAATATACACAGTACATACTGAATATTGAATTAAGATAGTATTACAGATATAATTTCTCTGTACTTCTAAAAAAAAAAAAAGAACCATTAGGACTTCATTAAAAAGATTTCATTAAATCTTTTTCATTCAAAACTAAAAAGTTATATTGATTTTCTGCTAATATTACTCCATAATTATTTTTATTTTTATTATCACTAACAGTTAACCACAAATCTACAGACAGACAGACAAAATATAGTAAATAAGTATATACAATACTGTTGCTTTAATAAAACCTTTCTTAAACATTTTTTTTAATGGGATAAAGCCTGTAATTCCCAAACTTTTGAGTTCTCACAACAGGACATCATATTTATTCCAATTATGAAAACAAAGCTGGTTTCTTCTCTTTATGCTGTAAGGCAAAAGATATATTTTCACCTCTTCATCACTCCTGTCTTTTCCCCACTTGGGTTTAGCACTGGAAGAGGATTTAGCTGTTTCATTTAATATATTTCATTAATCTTTCTCTCTCTTTTTTTTTTTCTTTTTTTTTTTTCAGAGAAAGCAAAGCCCTACAGAATAGACAAGGGACTGTGACAGATGCCCAGAAGAGAGGCACTCCCATGCATAAGGGCCAGTGTGGGTGAATGCTTGCACATTGCAGATTCAGAACAAACATCCCCATTTCTAACAGCCACAAGCCATGCCAAAACATTTGTTAGGAATCCAGTGGAGCATCTTAGGGGTCACAGCACACAGGCCACTCAGAGCTGCTGGAGCTATGATAATTTATGTCAGCTGATTGCCTGGCTTGACAATCTCAGGAGCAACTTGGAATTTGAAAATAGGAACCTACTGTATCACAGTAGTGGACTTTGTCATAGTGGAGAGGGTGCATTTGTTATTATGGTCACTGAGAAAAATCACTAAGAGCATGGTGATGAACTGCAGTAAAGAGCATCCACCCGCATCTCAGCCAAATCAAAGCCAATGGAAGCTTCATTACACACTAACTATTCAAGATGAAACCTCTGTTAAGCATCACACATTACAATGTTTTTTAAAACAGTTTGTCATTATCTTTTATGATTTTCCCCTAATTAGAAGCTGGTTCTCCTATTAAAAATACATGTAGAAAAGAACTGGCTTGAGAAGGTGGAGGTGTGGAAAAGTAATTGGCCAATTGCTGCTTGAAATCTGTCAATGTGCATTTCTGCTCCAAAAGAAAGACACAAAGGACACTAAACTCCAGTGCTGGAAAATGCATCTGAAATCAGATTGGCTGTACTGAAAGGTACCAACATGAGAAAAAAAAAGTGTCTCGGCTCCCATCCTAAACCTTCAAAATTAAAGTGTTTCAGTGCCTAATTCTACCTTCATAAATGGTCTTACATCCCATGTGAGGCTGCTACTTCTCAGTCTGTCTTGGCATCTGTGGGAGCCTAATATAGCTTGAATAAATAGTTCATATCCCTTTCTACATCTTCCACCTTAATATATTGTTCATAAAGATGACTTTTCTGACCCCATGCTACTGCAGGAGCATTGGAAATGTTTTTAATCCTTGTTTGAAATATTGGGGTCACCAGAGAGCACCACCAGATGAAGCATTTCTGCACTTTCTGCACAGAAGTAACTAGTAAAGCAATCTTGGGATTGGAAATCTAAGAGATTTGCAGAAACTACCTTACTGTGTTGCAGTAGAATGATTTCTTTTTACCACACACCTCCAAAAGCTTAGTTTAAGGTATCTTTGAAGAAAGGATTTAAGAGTATGAATCCCATCATAGAAGTAGGAGTTTTGGTATTAAGTAAATGACTGCAGAAGCAAACCTTTGCTATTCTGGTAAGATTTGAAGCTTATTATTAATACTGAGCATGATCCCACCTACCTTTGAGTGGGATTCATTTCACATAACTATTGATATCCAAAGGAAGATGTTGTGTGCATGTTAATAACTGTAAATCCCGTTATAATCACCAAAGAGGGACCTCTCTGAATATTCCATCCACCCTGCATTAGATGTTTACTCCCTAATAATGCTTGCTTACTTCCCCTCACAGTACTGCCTTTCTGTTTGTTGGGTTCAGACAAAGATGCTCAGATTTGCACTGGTATGTTGAGTTTGCTTTCTCCTCGGATTTACTGCAGAATTTTTCACTTAAGATAGCAAAAATTTCTTATTTTCACTTCCCAAAAAATAGAAAAGTTAATTGTGTCAATATCCAAAAACACACTTATTGAATATCTTAAGGTGACAGAGACAATGGGATGGCTCTTCCAGCCAGTGGGATGGCTCTTCCAGCCCACTATGCTGGTTCTTATTATGAGATTTTTAGTCAGTCCAACATGAGGAACTGTTGCAGCTCACATCTGAATGCCAACACCTAATTTATTCTGCATTACTGAGAAATCTATTTTTGTCTTCTGCCCTTCATTAATTCTAAGCAGCAGTCTGCCTGCTCAAAACCACTACTGATTGACACTTAATGATACCATGAATGAAAGTTGAACGAAAATTTCAAAAGGCATTCTAAAAATGAGAAATTGTCTGATGAAAAGGAGCAGTAATTTCGTTTTCAAGAGTACCTTGTGGTAGACTTTCTGTGCAATGGTTTCTATGTGCTATGGGTAAGCATAAATGCAGCAAACTTAAAAAAGGTATTGTCTAAGATAATCCACTGTTTTACAATTGAATAACAATTTCTTTAGACAACTATTGCACAAACTGCTCCTGAATTCTAAGGTATCCTGTGTATTTAATTTGACAATTAGGAGGACATGTCTAGATTGAATGGAGCTGTTTCTGAGTAAACTTCAAGTTTTACTTGTGGGACAATTTCAGGATCCCCTGCTCCTGTTGTAGAAGTAGAGTTCTGATTTCTCACACTTTATTTTTACCTTAAAAACTACATCTCAAAGAAGCTATTAGCTCAAATTTTTCAAAAAAACACAAGTTATTTATAATTTAGTGAAGAGTATTAGTCTTCTTGGCCAGTTCCCTGAAATGCAGAAGACATCACATGCTGTTCTGCAAACTTTGCACATGATCACAGAATAAAGTTACTGTTCCTAGGCAGAACCAGACAGTACCATTCAGAGGCACTGCAGGCCATGCTTGAAACTGGAGGCCCATGGGAGAAATTAATAGTTCCTGAATGCCTTAAGAAGATCCATTTTCAGAACTGCCTCAGGCACTTAAGTTTATTGATTTCACTGAGACTTGATCACTGGAGACAAGATTCATCTCAGCTCATTCTGATCAGATCTAAATTAGGTGCCTTTTGCAATAATCTTCAACCTTCACACTGCAATCCCTGACTTTCTTGTGGCAGCCTTAACTGATAAAGCTACTTTAAGCCTTTCAACAATAAGTTTCCTCTTCACTGACACTTTCTGTGAGGTGGGAAAGTCTACAGATTTGCTGATCTGCAGCTGTTTTGCAGCTGTTTAGGCTCATCATTCATCACATTGTCCTAGAAAATATGTCTAATATAGGCAGGAACTAGAGCTGACTATCTTTGTCTTTGGAATTAGAGCTGGAACTTAGATCTTATGCTTGAAGTATACCTTCAGCTTTAATTTCATTCAAATCACAGCTGGCATTTGAGAGGATTCCACTCTGAGTGTTTTAGAGTCACAAGAATGGTTTCTGACAATGATCTACCTTAAGGCATTCATGGCAGTATTACCTTTAAACTGGAAGGAATGCAAAAATCTTTCTCATCAATATCTTATAATACACATATAATTAATTCATGGTATTGATATATACACACTCTCCTTAAAAAAAAAAAAAAAAAAAAAAAACCAGCAATGCCAGTAGGACAAATTCTGGGAAGGAACTCAGTTTTCTCATGGAATATAAGCATCAAGTGTATACAGGGTTCTCAAAGGTCACATGTACCTGGTGATTTGTCTTAGAGACTGTCCATGACAATTCTGCATCTTCCTCCTCTTCACTATCTTCTGAACAGGATTCAAACTCATCTTTATAATATTCTTCTGCAATTTCTGGGTCTTCAGGGATCTCTAAAGGCAATAATGAGTTTATAGCATATATAGAGGAAAAAAAAAGAGTGATCTGGAAAAGATATAAATGAACTTTATAGCACCAGTGTTATATCAATAGCAATGCGTTCTGTAATTGAAAGCAAAGGATGGGTTCTCAGAGTAAAATGTTTGTCTTTAGTGATATGATAAGCAGTATTAAAGCTGTCTCTGGCAAAGTGCAAATCCTCATCATGTGTGAATTAATGAACCTAAGGGATCTATATTGATATTGCACTGAAATCTCTAAACTATACAATAAATCAGGCTGGAAGTGACCTTATGGCATCATTAAGTCAAAGCAGGGCCAGTAATGAATTGAATCCAGCTTTTGTGAGTCGAAATTATAACTCAGTTTTGTTTTCTCTAACACATATAACTTGTGGTAAATACAACTGCTAAGTTAAAATGGAAAATAATATATATCAGGTATATTTTTAAAATATATGAGAAATTAAATCTATATATTTTCCAAAAATTTATTGAAGAAAAACTACAATAAAATAAAAGAAACTGGTATAAAATCAAGCTGTGCATACTTTGGTGTCATGCTCTCTCAATTTATTACCATCACAAGTTTTAGTAATAGCAATGAGTGCAATATTAATATGGCCAATGAGCCCATGAAGTACAATAATTGGTATTAAAACTCAACACATTCATCACAGCTTGAAAGACACTCCAGCCACTCTGCAGTGGGTGAAATCCTTTGGCATCCCAGACTCCGTATGAAAGAATCAGTGAAACAGCTTGAACTCTGATTGCATCTCCTTCAGGGAGATATTAGTACAAGAAATGTTAGTAGAAGACAAAAAATATTTAATGTTCAGCTGTTATAAATCATCATTGTCATTGTCATAATTTTAGCTAATGCTAATTTCAATCACTCTCCTCAATTAAGTCTGCCCCTTTAGAGAAATAAGAACTATCTTAAATTTTACTGCATTTAAATAAATGAAGTTCAAACAATATTAGATTAAAATTATTAATCGATTTTTAAATTGTTTTACATGGATAAAAACCCAAAAGGATTTAAACAGGGGAATGCAATTAAAATCCATATAAAATACATTTGAGTTTGGGCAGGAGCAATAATTCTAATCTTTAAGGTGAAAGAAAGAGAACTCAGAAAAAATAGTGTAGCTCTCTGCAGAATTAGATGGTTAAGCTCTCCTGTTGAGATATAAGGTCTACTATCTATTGTCTCCAAAGTAATTTCAAAAATACTTTCTTTCTTTATAAACCTGATTTAGCTCCAAAATGCTGACACATTTTCACTCAGGTTTCTGTTTTAAGATATTAATGGAAGTTGCATAAAAGCCCCATGCTCCACTGTCACAATTTCTAATCCTAATCCTTCCTGTTTCTATTTTTCACCTTTCTTAATTTGAGAAAACAATCAAACAAACAATTGATCAAGACCTGAGTTTCCAGAAGAACACCCCCAACCCAAAAACATTTTCTCACAAAGAAAGCATTTAATTGCTTGAGTTCTACAAAGTGCCATTTGATAGGAAGTCCAGCACTTTATTAAAAAGAGAATCTTAAATATCATCCTTTCTCTGTGGAAAGAACACCACAAAATTAAGATACATCTCCTTTTCCATGTGAGGTGATAATTTTTTCTTTCTTGCAGAGAGGCAGTCATCCCAGTGATTAGGATAATTTCATCAGGTTCATCTGCATTCTGTCTATGTGCATTCAAATACATATAAAAGAGCCCATTTATTATGTTGTAATACAAACATCAGACTACGCTGGTGTTTTCTGAGTCATCTTCTCCCACATTCTGCACTTGTTTATTGCTGTACTAAAAGATGCAAACCTCCTCTTTCCAACAAAACAAGGTATCAAAATCAGACTTTTTACTCATCACTGGAACTTTAAAATGCCTGATCTGCCTACTGTAAACTCTATACTTTGTGAGCAGCCCATCACCACAGAAAACTGGTGATGCCCCTGAACTATGCAGAGAGGCTGGCAGTGGCTGTATTCCACTGCCATGCCAGCCTTTGCATCCTTGTTGGAATTATTCACCTCACCATTTGTGAAATTGGTTTGACAGCTGTTCATAGAGAGACAGTTAATCTGAGCTTAGTAATATAATTTGAAATGCTAGTTCAGATGCTGGAGATGTCCCAGGGTATACAAGTTTACTGGCCCCAATTCAGAAACCAATTCCAAGTGGCATTTCTGAAAGAAGACAGTATGTCCAGTGCAGGGGAATTTGGCATTTACCCAATAAAAGTTCTTAAAACTTTATTGTTTTATGGCTGGCATCTTTAAAGAAGGAGCCTTCAAAGCACTTACACATTTATTTAAACTGTTTCCATATAACAATTCTTTGAATCTTACCAAAGTAGAGCCAGCTCCCAGTCCTCCATGTATTACAGATGCACAAGACATTCTCTGGTTCTCTGAAGAATTGTCTCAGTACAGAACAGCTTATTGAGCTGAGGCCCAGGATCAGACAAATTTCAAGAACAGATCAGGGGGATTTGGCATAGCAGACACCATAAATCAGCCTGGCAAGCTATACCTGTGCTGGCCTAGTATAGTCCAAGTGAAGACAGCTTGAGTGAGTTGGTATTTTCAGCTCAGGGCAGGCACTGTCAGGGGAGTTCAGGCCCCACAAGCTTCCATTTCCATGTCTGCAGTCCATTCTCTAGAATATTTGCTACCTGAGTTTTCCCATAATTCCATGTGATTTCATATACACCTCCAATTTCCACAAACCAGGTGACAAAAGACTGCTTACTGCTCCCATTCCTAAACATTACTAGGGAAGTTGCACACTTAGTAATGTAGCACGGAAGAAAGTTCTTTGGTTTGTGCTTTCATAGAAGTATTTTTAATAAAAATGTTGGTCTTTGGGCTAGGCTGTTTGACCTCTATTTGACCACTGCAAACCCTAGCATGGACTCTGGTGACAGGACCTTGACCCTCTCCTTCGTTTTGATAAATAAAATAAATATTTAGCCTATTTGTGCCTGGGAGGTACTTGGGTAAAGAAGTGGTGTTAGTGAGGGCAATGCCAAGACTATTGTGCTGAAAGAGGAAACAAAACTGCTGCTGCAGAACCCAGGGGACCCTGCCTCTGTTTTGACAGCTGGACTAGCATCCAGCTGAGCATCTCTGATGCAGCATTCTCACATTCTCCATAGGGAGCACAAGGAAGGGTCTGTAGAGCTGCTTCTGTTCCCTCATGCCCCCATATCTCTTAGATGGTCACTGAAAGCACCTTGTGCTTTATCCAGCTGTGTGTATTGCACCAAGGCCAGTCACAACAGCTTTTATTTGCTTACAAAGCACTGAATTCAAAACAAACTCAGCTGTTGCTTTTGTATTGCTAGATGGTTTAGGCATAGCATTGAGACACTTGATACTTGTTATTAGATATTCAAAAGAAAACAAGCTTTGAATAAAACCATTCCTCTTTAGAGATCTTTCTATACAGTAACATTATGCTAATAGTGGAATGAATCCATTATCTAAAAAATCATAAAAGCATGGTTATTTCCCAAGAAGACAAGCTAAACAGAAAACAGAGGAATGTGATAGTTGTAATATTTTCCTTAAACCCACCAAGAGCATGTTTCAGGTAGCATGGTAACTCAGCAACAACAATTTTCTCCAAAGAGATGAAAATACTTTGATAAATATCTTTAATTTTCTTCTGCCTCAAACTCATACTTGTCATTGTTGCATTGATGTAGTATTCCCACATCCCAGAGCATGCAGAAGACAATAAGTAAGGCCACTTTTATTAAAAGGAAAAAAAACCCAGGAAAAGTAAATAAGAAAACAGAATGGTGCAACATATGTAAATTTTCACTATTTGTATTCACAGTAATGGAGTCACACTTTACTCTTAAGGACTACTGTACTTCTTTGATCGAAAGTCTTCATTGCATCTCTGGGAAAAGGCACATTTTCTCAGCTACCACATTCCTACCTTAAAGAAAAAAAATTGCTCCAGTTTCATATTGTTACACTCCTCAATCTGCACAGCATCACACAGAGGAAAGTGAGGAGCAAATCACTCATCTACTCTGACACACACTGTCATAATGGATACATAATGGACTCCCGAGATGGTGACATGAATCTGCACACCAGAAAGCAGTGTTACTACACCTCTGCTACCACAGACTGACACAGAGAACTCAGAAAATTGAGAGACAGGGCCAGGACAGAGGTCCTGGCAGGACCCCACCAGTACCACATAGGTACCCTTGATCCTTTCATTTCTGTGGAAATGCATCAGCAAACACCAGTTTGATCCCATATGAGCAGGTGTTACCTACGGGAGCAGATCCACAGTGGCACCCAGGCTGGGCACTGCCTGGGTGCAAGAAGGGACTGGGAGAGCAGAGTCCCTTCAGCCCTGAGAAGGGAAGGTAAAGGGGAAACCTTGCTGCTGTCTATGCCTATCTGATCAGAGGAAAAAAGGAAGATGGAGCCTGTCTCTTCACAGAGCTGACATAGGACAAGACACAACAAGCATCTGGAACATCCTAAAGTCCAATTTGACATAAAGAAGAGGAGAGGAGAGGAGAGGAGAGGAGAAGAGAAGAGAAGAGAAGAGAAGAGAAGAGAAGAGAAGAGAAGAGAAGAGAAGAGAAGAGAAGAGGAGAGAAGAGAAATGTAATCAAATACTGGAACAGGGCTTAAAGAATAGAACATGCAAGAGCTCAATCAACCCTTGGAGGTGTTCAAAATTTGATCAGACACCCCTAAATATCCTGATCTGAAAAGAACGGCTTGGAGCCATTGAGGGAATTGGACTAGGCTGCCAGGGGTTCCTTCCAACCTAAATTATTTTATAATGCTGTGGCTGTTTGATTCCTCACAAACAGTTCAGAATCTCCTCAGATCTATTTGTCTATGCACACATATTTAACATACACACTAAACAATCTAAGCAGAAACTTAGGAGCTGACAAGAGGAGCTGGTGCACAGGGCTGGGCAGCTCTCTTCA